TGTAGCTTTGTGCCTTTCCTGGAACTCGCTTTGGAGACCAGGCTGGCCTCGAACTCACAGAGATCCACCTGCCTCTGACTCCCAAGTGCTGGGATTAAAGGCATGCGCCACCACCGCCTGGCTCTGTCAAGGTTTTTATTCTTGCATTTATATGCCTTTGCCAACACTGGAGATAAGTGTCTGTAGTAGGACAGGCCCATAGGGTTGAGGAAATTGGCTCAGACCAGTTGCCAAGTCATGCATATAACATACTTTCTATGAGCCAACCTGAAGTCTGCCTGAGGGCCTATCGACAGGCGCTGTCAGAGTTCCTGATCGTGCCCAGCCAATAGGGACGACCACACAATGCCACCAGATTGCGACACAGACTAGGTGCTGAGAGGAGGATATATAAGGCCTTCCCCATTATTAAATGGAGGAGTTTGTTGTTTGCCTTCAACTGACTCCTGGTGTCTGTGCCTTTGATGCCGTTCCTTCTCATCCCCTCCCTGAGGAAGCCGTTAAGAGTCTGAGCAACAAGTATCAAAATCAAAATGCTAGACAAATAGTTTTAGTGTTTGGATATATTAAGATAACCTCAAATTTTAGACATCACTCTGCCTCTTTTGAGACAGGATCTGGTAAGTAGGTCAGACTATCCTTTAACTTGCAGTCCTCTTGCCTCAGCTCCCTTAGTGCTTGGATTCAAGGAATGTGTCACCGTATCCCCCACTTTTAGTGTATTTGTAAGAGAATTCTCTACAATCAGAAGTAATTGCAAGGGCCTACAGAATCTAGAATAATGAATACAGTAGTGAAAGAAGAACGTGTGTGTGTGTATGTGTGTGTGTGTGTGTGTGTGTGTGTGTGTGTGTGTGTATGTGTTTAAGAACTACTTTTGACGTTCCTTCAGAAAATATGTATAGGAACTTTGTTATTTTGAAGCAAGGTTTCGCTATGTAGTCTTGGCTAGCTTGCTACATAGCCCAATGTGTCCTTGCACTCAAGATAATCTTCTTGCTTCAGCCTCCCAAGTGGTAGGATTATAGGTGTACATGACCAAACCTACCTCTAGGAACATTTAAAATTCAAGTTTTCCATTTTTGACTATTGCTTTTGAAAGAGACAAATCCTTACTATTCTCTTAACCTTTGGCTTACAGAGATGGATCAACAAGCTGAAGAAAGTGACCAAGCCCAGCAAGCACAGACACCAGTTACCACCAGCCCCTCAGCGTCCAGCACGACTTCCTTTATGAGCAGCTCCCTTGAGGACACCACAACTGCCACCACTCCTGTCACTGACACAGAAACGGTGCCTGCATCTGAGTCTCCAGGAGTGATGCCACTTAGTCTTCTCAGGTAGAGAATCGGCCTTTCTTTACGTCTGTCACACTGATGCTTTTGCTTCTCAAAGCACATTGTTTCTCGCACACAGAGTGTGCCCATTTAAATCGAGGTATTCCAGAGCTGGAAAGAACCTGGGATCATATAGTGAAAACATATCCTAGTGAAAGTGGAAACACCCCTCTGAAGTTTTATTACTTGTCCTGAAGTCTCAAAGCCCGTTAGTGGTGGGCTCGGGTCCAATGATCTTTTTTGTAGGGACAAGGTCAGTCTGTCTTCCCAGGCTCTGGTGATACTCCTGCTTCTGAGTAGGGGGTGTAAGTGTGCACCACCATACTTGGTTTGGCTAGGCTTTTAAAGATTTTTTTTCTTCAGAAAGCCAATTAGTTACTTCTTCCTAGGGTTTTTTTTTTTTTTTTTTTTTTTTTTTGTGGGTGGAGGGGAGGTTGTTTTGGGGCAGGAGGGTTGATGCTGCTACTGAGGATCAAACTCAGGACCCTTACATGTTACACAAATGTTCCATTGCTGAGCCATATCTCTAGCCCAATATTTGAATTTTGAGTGGTAAAGTCTAAAGAAAAAAAATCATCTGCATAAAATAATTTTTTCTTCTTGGATTCTTTCTTTTTTGAGCATAATTTTTTTCTTTTTCTTTTTTTTTAACATTTAACACTTATGTGGCATGAGAGCACACATATCACAGTACACATGTGGAGTCGGAAGACAGCTTGGGGAGTTGTTCTCTCCACCTTTGTATAGGTTGCAGGGATTGCATTTAGCTCCTCAGGCCTTCATGGTAAGCTCATTCACCCGCTGAGTCGTCAGCTCAGTAGCTCTGTGCTCTCATTTTTACTCTCTGATCCAGCAGTTCTCTTTTGAAGTGAAAGGAACATGTTTGGAGGGGCTTCTTCAGCCACTTGTATGTAATAAAGCTATTCAATGCTTACGATTTCTATTCCTTTTTGCTTAGTTTGCTACTGTATACATACCAGGGAGGCTTTAGAGAGACCTTCATGGACAGCCTGGCTTAAGTGAAGTAAGGAAAGCAAACTAGTCTTTTCCTCATGGGTAGATTGTCTTTATTCTCACTGAACTAGACAGTAGAAGGGGAGCCTCATCTCTGCCCTTAGTGATTCTCAAGTTTTGGTGTGTACAGTTTTCCCACCTAAGAGCTCTTTGAAAGTTCTGGGATTATATCACCACCATGTCAGATTTAGTAGGTGTATAGAGCCCATAGTTTACGTTTTCACAACATTTTCCTAGTTGTGTGTGTGTGTGTGTGCGCGCGCGCGCGCGTGCACACGTGTACTGGTCTTCAGCGCACATTTTGAAAATTGCCACTGTGTATTTGTGTGGAGGAGCATTGGTGATCACCTGTTTTTTAGCTCTCTCATTTGAGTCATAATTCTAGGAGATGCTAATTCTTGTGGTTTTTAGAGCTTCTGGCAGTTTCAGAATTTAGAAGTGTTCACAAAGAATCTGTGACCTCTTGTCTCCATCGAGGCCCTGACTACAGTAGGCATAGAGTTAAAGGGTAGAATCATGCCCCTTCATTGCCATAGGTGCCCACCAGATGACTTCCTCTATTTCTTTCTTTAGTAGCAGAAATTGAACTTAAAGGTACACTCCTAGAATCTTCTTTCTTCTTAGTCTTTGTTTCTCTACTACTGGCTTAGACTTGATTGGAGCTACAGTTATTGCCACAAAACTCTGTAAGCTCCTATTTCCTAAAGCTTGGTGGTGGTAGAGCACTTGCCTAGCATACACAAGTGGCTCTATGTCAGTTCCCAGCACTGCAGAAAAGAGAAAGGGCAGATCTGGACTTAATTCTTTGATCAGTGTGAGAGGGAGTGCCTTTCATTCCTGTGCATGTCATTCGTACACTGTTCATACCATGTCATACATGCTAAGTTCCTCTAGTATATCATACATACACACTATTTTTCAATTGTGTTGGGTACCTGGACACTTTTCATTCTATATGTTAATACCTGAGATCAGTGTGTTAATTTTATAACTAATGGATTTATATTTAAGTTAACATCAAGTTTCCCCTCTTTTTTTTTTTTTTGTTACAGGGGTCTTGTATCCTAGGCTACCTTTGAACTCCTTAAAAGGCCAAGATGGCCTTGAACTCCTGTCTCTACCTCCTTATTGCTGGCATTATAGTATATGCTACCACACCACCTTTTATACAGGGCTAGAGATTAAACCCAGGGTTTTGTGCATGCTAGGCAAATACTCTACCATCTGAGCCACATCTCTAGTCCAAGTTTTCTGTCCTTAAAATTCTTCTTTAGTACTGTATTAATACCCTTGTCGTCTTGATATTACAATAAAAGAAAAACTCCATAAAGGCAAGGACTGTTCATTTCTTTCTTTCTTTCTTTCTTTCTTTCTTTCTTTCTTTCTTTCTTTCTTTCTTTCTTTCTTTCTTTCTT